AGCGCATCTTTGGGAGCAAAAATTAATATAAGACACTGTCTTATTTTCGGGGAAACAGGGTAGTAGAGGTGGGGAGGCTCTGCCGCTTAACTACTCTGGCACAGATAAAACGGCAAATCTTAAGTGTAGACAAGGCTTGAGAGAGGAATCCATGGCAGAGTGTTCTCTGATAGGGCCCCTATACCCCTGGTATTTGCATGGTAAGTAACAGTCTGAGTTCTTTATTTATAAGGCATATATAACATCTCACTGGCCCACAGAGAACTGGGTGAAGTTGGTGGAGAACTCTGAGAGAAATTTTATTATTGGTATTTATTCCACATTTGTTTGTGCTGCTATGGGAATATGATTGGAGGGGAAAAAAGAGTGTTTATTTGGCGTTTCTAACAGTCTGTCTAAAGCACCCAGAGCTCCAAAGGAAGCTCGTGTTTGTATACATTTGAAGAAATAAGTCAATAGCTAAATTTCCATACGCTTCTCTGGGGCCAACATTTGGCCTTCGGTCTGGAATTTACAATCTTGCACAGGCCAGGGCTTTGCTCAGACTCTCCACACACTAAAAATCATTTTATGCAGCAGAACAATGTAACACTCAGCATAAAACTATTATAATATTTTTAATCAGTCTAGTTCAGATTTCACATTGTGTTATTACAAAAGATACACTGGATGCCAGTAAATACACAGTACAATAATGTTCTTTGGAAGTCTCTTTTAAAACAAGTATTTTTAAAACAACCAATAATTTGGATATACGTAAAAGATGCACAAAAAATAGAGACAGGGGAACAACAAGACCTCCTCTGCATAGCACTGTTCTTAAATCACATACAAATGTAATTTGCAGAGACCTAAATGATAGCAATTAGATATTTTGTCATGATTTCTAATGTGCCCCTCATGGTGATGTCTGTACTCTGAACTACTACTTTTGGTATTACTTTTATCACAGCCCATGCACTAACACGAGGGTAGGAAGGAGGGTCTAAGGGGAAAAGGATACGAGAGGAGGATTTGAGACCCGAGTTCAATTTGTGTGTGAGCTTGGGCATATCACTTCTTCCACCCTTTGCCTCGGTTCCCCCATACATAAAATGGGGATAACTGCCTATGTCACAGGGTATTCCTTTTCACCTAAAATACAGGATCAATGAAAGTTGTCTTTTTTCTGAAGTACCGTAAGCGCTTAATCATTTTCAGGTATTAACAGTTTTCTTATCTGGTTTCCATCAACAGAGGAGATTATTAACGCCATACCCTCAGAGATTTAATGGAGAAATCTCTTCCTATCAATTGAATGTAAAGCTAAATCTGATAATTGTTTTGAAGATTTCCATTTGCACTTAGCTACAAAGATTTCCCTTTTCCTGCGTGTTCAGACACATCATTGGTCCTTGTATGGAAAGTAGAATAAAAATCACACTTTAAGAGCATATCTGCCATGGTTTAATAATTTAAAATACAAATTCATATTTTACCGTAGTTCCATGTGGTGTTTCATATCATCCTTGTGTCTTTCGAAAAATATGTTTTACAAAGCTGACATCATTTGGCTGCCAGGTACCACAGAAACTACTCATTTGTTGTACAGATAGTATATTATTGATAACCTGGGAGTGGCAATTTGTGTCCTTCTTTTGCTTCAAAAAAAGTGTAAGAAAGAGTGATCAGATCAACATTGGCCATTCTTGGGTCTTCAGCAAATTCAGGATCTATGAAGAAAAATACAGGCATGTCCACTTCCTCTTGGGGATTAAGCCGCTGTTCTTCAAAACAAAAGCACTGTACATGGTGGAAAGTGGGAACAGTTACAGAACAAATATGTACACACTGCATGTTAAAAACAGCCTTTAAGTGTTCTGTTTTTTCTAGTGCTCCTACTTTGATAAATTTAAATGTCTAATGGAATGAGATCTCTGATTGTGACGGGATAGCAGGTTCTCTCTTTTACATTGTTTAACAGAGATATGATCCATGACACAAACTTCTCCCCTATTCGTAATTCATAGATTATCTTCCCTCTCTGGTGAATGAATACTAAGTGGTAATTACAGCAACTGCTTAAATTGAAAAGTTAAATTAGGAAAGTATTTAATAGTTTTGAAGTGAACAATCAATACCCTATGACTATTCAACCCACAAGGGCCTATGAGATCGTTAGTGGTCCATCTCCTACACTCCGGGAGCCACTCTAATGGGACTTTTAGAACCCGCCTCCTATGATTTAGCCTAGGCTAAATAGATGAATTGATGCATGCCCATTTGGAAAAGAATAATGTCTGAAATACTGAATTTTTCAGTTTGCCAGTCTAGATTGCCTCACGCGCCTTGGAGTTTACACACTTCACCTACTTGTATTTTATTGAAATACTGTCCTGCTTCAAATGGAACCACGTTATATGTAGAGATTCCAATTATTGGTTTGTGTGTAGAATTCTTTGCTTTGTAAAATGCCAGTGCAGTCTCTCCTGGTACAACCTGTTTAAAAAAAAAAAAAAAAAATTAACAATTATTGTATTTAATTTAAGTTCATTACTCCACTCTCACAAAGTTCTGTAGGACTTACGTTGTTAAATTTATTCCAGTGATCATTTTTTTTTAGCTGCCTTAAAGGCAGATTCACTGCAAGTTATCTATTTCCTATATTTCCAACATTAGTGAATCTGGAAAAGTGATTGTAAATTAAAAACAGTATTGAGAACTAGCTTTAATATCCACACACAAAATTAATCATAATATGGATACATTTTGGATCTTATCCTACAAGATATTGGACTTCCAGGGTATATCTACACAGCCCATGTGTAGACTGTGGTTTGAAGTTGTGGCTTTGGATGGAGCTTGGGCTCTGAAGCCTTTTTCTTTTTTGGGGGTGGGGGGAGGGAGGGGGGCAGGGGGCGAGAGCCTAGACTAAAGCCCATGCTGAAACTTTAAAGTGCCATCTATACAACATGCTGGGACGCTTACTGCTGGGAGCTATGTAGACATACTCCCATTGACTTCAGTAGTTCAGCACCTTTTTGGAGGCTTATGACACCATACAAAATTGGGTCTTTGTAGATGTCAGATTAATACACTTTGGTATATAAAGTCCAATAGCACTGTTGAAAAAAATATCAAAACACTAATGTCAATAATGAATTCAAACAAAGTGATCAAGGAACATGACTGACCGCAGAAGAGCCCGTGTTGGTAACCAGCTTTAAACAGTAGCAATATTATTAAAGGTGTAAAAAAAATCAAGACAGAAATAATCATGCAAGAATACCGACAAGAAGAGCAAGTGCCATACTTGACCTAAGCTCTAGTGCTGTAATTTACAATGCGGAGGTGGACTGCTTTGCCCTGCCTGCGTGAGCCCTGCAGACTTCAATGCCCACCTGCATTGTAAATTGCAAGACTGGGGCCCCAACTTGCGATTTTGCCCTTGTTTGCAGCCCATGCAACTTTTATGAACCTTTTCTAAAACTTTCTAAGAAACTAATCTACAAACCAATGTGTATAGCAGCAACCAAGGCAAATATTTGGTAAGTAAAAATATTTCAGTCATTTGATTTTGCCCCTTAAATTGAAATAAAAAACCTACAATTATTTTTAAAGTTATGCAAATCCCTTCGACAGTATCCTTTGAATCTGTCATTAACATTTATGAATTCAAATGAAAGTAGCTTCAATAATATTATTTGAATGAGTGCTGAAAAATAAGACTCCCGTCCTGTAAATACTTTAGTCCATGAATAGACCTAGGTATAGCCTTGATCCCAAAAAGACTCATACCCATGTTTACATCTTTTCAAGATCAAAGCTAATGTATGTATTAGAAGCTAACATAGAACAAGTTTTAAATAGTTAAGATTTGAAGCCTCAATTTTTCAGTTTTGTAAGTGTTTTTTGTAGCTTTGATAATTGTATGATGTCTAAATGAATTGTTGTGTAAGTTTCTTACGTATATTTCTGTTTGCTGAGGTCTAAAATTCCAGTGTAGACTTGCATGCACATCAGCATTGAAAGTGACCTTAATGATGCGATCTTTAACAGGTTCCATGGTCTCAATCTGGTCTGAATCATGGCCTGCTACTGCTGACCCGCCTAGTCCAGTAGCCTTTAGAAAAAGAAAAGTTGTAGTTAGCAGTATTAAAATTGAAAACTTGATGTTTACTTTCTGGTACCTGACATACCAATTTCAACCTCTGTAGAAAGAAGGTTAAAGGTAACACTACCACCTTAAGAGCTAGTCAATTTCAGGAAGAATTGAAAGTAGTGTCAGGTACTACTCTTCCCTGGGAGTCCCCTGACCAAATCTATTTATTTTTCATTGATTTTTTTTTCTTTTCCCCTTTACGAAAGGTTCCAGACTGTAGTGGGGAAAGTGAAAATTACCATACACACAGTAAACAAACTGAAGCAAAGGGGAACAAGTAATTTTGTTACACTGCCCTTTTGAAACAACAAATAATAAATAAATAAAAAAAACAAAAAACAGGCAAGTGCATAACAGGGTTTTAGCCATTAACTAGGCTCTTAGGTGCTATGGTAATACAATCAATAAACGGTAAGTGGATAGCACTGATTTAAAATATATGGGGCAGAAGGCTGCAGCAAGGAGAGGGAAGTGAGAACCCTGTGCCCCGGTAGAGCCTGATATTTAGGGTACATCTATGCTTACAGCAGGGGGAAGAGTATGTACACTGTATGCCCACCTAGCATAGGTATACATAACAGTGTGGACCAGGGGTTCTCAAACTGGAGGTCAGGACCCATCAGGGGGTCACGAGGTTGTTACATTGGGGGTCACGAACTATCACCCTCCACCCCAAACCCTGCTTTGCCTCCACCATTTATAAAGGTGTAAAATCTATAAAAAAGTGTTTTTAATTTATAAGGGGGGGGCTCGCACTCAGAGACTTGCTATGTGAAAGGGGGCACCAGTAAAAAAGTTTGAGAGCCACTGGAGTAGACAGAGTCAAGGTTTAAGTGGGGAGAGTGCCCTACCCACCTGAAGCCTAGGCTATATACCCTACACTGCTCTCTACATGCCCAAGAAATGCCCACCACATCCACACTGGTATTCTTAGCAGTCAAGCGTCCGGTTGCTAGAGCTTTCCCTGGCGCCAGACCCAGCAGGGACAGGAGTGGGCACAGGCTGCCTGTCCCTGCACTGGATAGGGACACAGGTAGTGTGTGTACTTGACTTAAGCCTAGATTGTAGCCTTAGCATAACGGGGAGAGGGAAGGGGGGCAACATCTCTGCGGCAGCCCTAAACCTCCCGGAGTTCTGGCCCGGCCGGTGGGGGAGTTCTTGGCGGCGGGGCAGGGGGAGGGGCCTGGCCCGGCCGGTGGGGGAGTCCTTGGGGGGCGGGGGTCCCTGTCCCGGCCCTGACCTGGCAGTAGAGGCGGTAGAGCGGCACGGCCGCGTAGGACATGCCCACCATGCCCACGGCCGCGGCGGCGATGTAGGTCAGGACGGTCCTGTTCCTGCGTCTCCACTCCTGCTCCTGGCCCCGCGTGAAAGGGTTGGGGCGCGCCACCCCTCGCGCCTGCTGGAGCCCAGGCCAGGCCTGGCGGCGGGGGGCGCTGCCCGGCCCGCGGGGGGCCCATTGGCTGTGCGGGGCCCCGGTCCGAGGGCACCGGCCGCAGGACGAGCCCCCCCGGGCCAGGGGCTCCCCAGCGGCTGGGGCCCAGACACGGAGCAGGCGGGGGGCCGATCCGGCAGCCACGCACGGCAGCCGAAGGACCCCGAGGCACCTCCAGCCCCGCCCGCACAGCCCCATCCTCCCCTGTCACGTGATGACCCGGGTCTGTCGGGCAGGGCGGCACTTCACACACGTGATTCGGTATTCTCGCGAGACTCGGCGCTCAGGTGGCTGCGCCGCAGGGACCGGGCAGTCTCCAGACTCGGTGGCGCACAGTCTACGGCGGCCGCAGGGGGTAAGTTCGCGTTCTCGTTGCCCTGACCCCGCCCCCTCCCGGCCAGGAGCTGCGGGGAGTCCAGTCGGCTGGCACGTGTGGCGCAGCGGGGTTTCTCTGTCACTTTCATCAGGGCTTTGCCCTGACACCACACCCACCTCCTGGGAGGAAAGGGGGCATGGTGCTCCCAGGGGCGGGGGCAGCGCCCTCAGTGGGGACATGGCAGGGGAGGGGGGTGCCCTCAACGGGGGCATGGCAGGGGCGGAGGGAGCGCTCCCAATGGGGGGCATGGCAGGGGCGGAGGGGGTTCCCTCAATGGGGACATGGCAGGGGCGGGGGGGTTCCCTCAATGGGGACATGGCAGAGGCGAGGGGAGCCCTCAACGGGGGCAGGTCAGGGGCATGGGGAGCGCTGCCATTGGGGACATGGCAGAGCAGGGGGGGTGCTCCCAATGGGGGATGGGGCAGTGAGGGTGCTGCCAATGGTGACAACTCAGAGTTGGCAAGAGCACTCCCAATGGGGACATGGCAGAGGGAATGAGAGCGCTCTGAATGGAGCTGGCCCAGGGGCAGCGGGAGCGCTCTGAATGGGAACATTGCAGTGGGAGTGCTCTCTCAGTGGGGCTGCCCCAGGGAAGGGGAGCACGCTGCTTCTCCCAAAGGTCTGATCTTGCGGGAGTGTCACCCCACAAAACCCTTATACCCACAGGGTTGTACCCAGCAAAAATGGTTTTTCTCTGCAGGGTCATCCAGTGAAGCACTGTGAGCATTCCCCCAGGCTTCCAGGGTGTCCCAGCACAGGGAAGGCTCATGGCTGTTTCTCTGTCAAGGGACCTTTTGCTGCAGGGACATTTCTCAGGGGCTACATACCATTATACTGTTGTAGGGAAGTTCCTGTGGCCTGCAGTGCTTCTGGGGCCGTGCAGAACCTCACCATAGCCTCGTGTCAGACTGTTTGCATTGGACCAAGCAAGCAGCCTGCCGTGGATTGCCACGCTATGTTTTTAGGAAGTCTTGATGCAGCACAGACTTCAACGTTATAACATGGCACGATGGTGCTTGGTTGCAATGTTTCACTGTAGTGCCTTGGTTTTTTGGCCAAGTCCATCCTATTGCATCACAATACTTTCCTGCAGCACACTGGTGTTTTCAGGCAGTGCCCTTCTGTGAAGTCGTGCGTAACAGTGAGTTGATGAAGTTCAGAGTCGTTGTAGTGGCATCTTCATACAGAGTGATGGATGTAATGATGTAATTCCATTTATTTGAACAAATGGTTGCAAATGGCGTGGCCTGGGACGCAAGCCAAATTTTTGAACACCACATCCCTACTCTGTGTCCTGACCTGATGACTTTTTGCAGTGGGATCAAGTTTGGGTCAGTGGGTCATATTTTGCTGCATTGTCACCCCATTGTGTATTGCTTTGACTATATTTTGATAGAAAATATTGACAAGTTATGTAACATGCCAATGTGATGTTAACAGTAACGATTTCACGACAATCAAGTTCACACAAATTCGCAAAGGTAGCTAATCCTAACTATACTGGCCCTACACACTATAGGTGACAATAGCATTATCTAGAGAAGATGAATGAATAGTGACACCTTGAGCAAAAATTCCTGGGGAAGCTTAGTCTCTCTTTTAAAAATTTTATTTAATATAAATATTTTTATTTACTTTTTTACAAACATATACTTATGGACAGAAAGAACAAATTGGACTGTATCTTTAAAAAGAAACTTTATACATCCAACAATTGATGGAAAATTTGAAAGTGGTGCAAAGTGTTTGCCATTATTTAGGATGTGTATGGGGGAATTGGAAGTATCAAACCCTAACATTGGGGGCAGCTATGCTACAATCATTATATTAGTTGATGGGTTTGAAAGAATACCAATACTTTTCACTTTTATGTAGAACTTCATCCAAGGAACTCAGACTTTTGCAAATTTTATTAGGCTAAACTTCAGGACACCTCTTGTGAATGTAGGTACTTATCTCTACTGATTGGTAAATGATGCATGGAGAAGTCAAGTTATTACTCATGCATTGGTTTTCTGAGAATTAGTTTTTGTTTAGATTTTCAAAAGGCTTCAGAGTTGCAGAACAAGCTCTACCTGATTTTGGTTTTGTAATTACTTGGATTTTTCTGATTTATGAGTTCCTTTTTTTACATCGCTTTAAGTCAAAACCCACACAACTGAAACATTAAGCTTTGCGTCCTATAGTTGGGCTGCATTTTCAGACTGAGTGGCACATCTTGTTTTCAGGTGCTGCTCTAGAGGATGACAAACAACTGCACCAAATGTGGCAGCTAATGAATTTGCTGCCTTCTAAAATGAGGTATACCAGCCCATCCTTGTAACACACTAGTTGCACGAGTCATTGAATGACTCTTGTTACAATCAGCCAAAAGGGGTGAAAACAATAATTATAATTCTCCTTGTTAACAAAAGGGGAAGAGATATTAAAAGCAAGGGAGGCTGAAGTAAGTCATGTTCACTTGAAACCAACATGTTTGAACTAGACGTTAAATGAACCGGTAGGATATTTTCAAACCAGTAATGTTCCAGCAGTTTATCAGATGACTATAACCTAAATACATTCAGGAATGTTTCTCATGGACTTACAGTTTTGGTGAGGCTATTATAGGAGTGACCCTTTTGCATAGTTTCATTAATAATATTTAATTGCACAGAAGGTTTAAATCACAAGGGGTCTAAATCTGTGTAAATCTTCAATGTAAATCTGGAGGAGCTCCATTTATGCCAATAGAGTTACTCTGGATTTATAGTGGTACAACAAAGAACTGAGCTGAGGATGTTAGGCTTTTGGTACTTTGCTCCTCAGCAGTCAATTCATGAACCAGTTATGCACAGAAGTGATCTCTTCCCACTTATCTTCAGGCAAACAGTCTTTAAAAAATTGGTACAGTATGAGAATTTAAAAATAAACATGTCTGCAAGTTTCTAAAAGTGGTTTCTCCTTTTTTACAGCAATCCTTAATCTCGGTTGTGGGTCTGTCATTTATCTTTCAGAATCTTCTATTCCAAACATTTAACAATTAATCTAAGAAGATGGCCTCTACAGAGTCCCTAAATTTACATAAAAGGTAAGTTTAGTTTTGTTTGTTTTTTATTTTAACAAGAATGTAGTAAACCCGGGGTTACTGGATCAAGTTCTCATTGTTAGCATTGGTGGTGATGGTGTGTTGTTTCAGTAAGTTCTTAAAGGTAAACACAGTCCAAAGCAGGTTCTTATAAATGTAAATATTTTAATTTTGTTAATTTCTTGTTCACAATGGCCGTAGAGATTGAAGGCCTCTGCCTTTCCATTGAAAAAGCTTCCCCAGATCGCCACACAATCCTGCCTCATCTCTGCCTCAGAGCAGCGACCCCTAAGGGTTGGAGAATAATTCAGTCATCAAGTCCATTCATTCCTCAATCTCCCTACTGAGACTGCCTTACGGTTGCAAAATAGTACCGACTGGGTTATTTTTTTATAATGTAGACACATGTTCACTTGGTACTAGATGGAGACCACCAAACTCCAAATAAAAACAGCTTTTAAATCTTTCAGTCATTTAACCTACACTGGTTGCAAACCGATGCCCTTGAGATGAAAAGCTGCATATATTATAATTATAACTAATATTCCCTTGAAAACTTCCTTGTTGTAGAATATCATACTATAAGTTTACTGAAGATGTGTCTTGAGCTTCTCTTAGGAATGAGCCAGCTACAATAAGGTCATGCCAAATATGGAGTTTATATGTTATAACACACTACTTCTCTGCATAATAACGTTTGCATTTGTCTTGTATTTTTCATGCAAAAATCTCAGTGTTCTAGAAACATTAATTAATTAGCTTCCTAACAACTCTGTGTCAGAAGTAAGTGCTATATTAATTTTACAAGTGGTTATAGTTAAGAGCCTTAAATCAACTGTTACTGAACCTTTGTTATTTAAATCAACTTCTTACTGAACCAATGGAACCTTTCCATGATTAGCTCAAAATAAATAGCATTCAGGAATCCTAACCCCCAGATCCTTCTCAAACCACTAGATAACCATGCCAAGCATGTCAGCAAAAATGATAATTTAAAACATACACAAACAGTTTGTGCAGAATTGTATCATGACTGTTTTGCTCATGCACAACTTGCTGGGTTCTGCTCTCAGTATTGGCAAACTAACTTATCATATTCACAAATTTGTAATGATACTGGCAAAAGATAAGCAAATTAATAGCCATCTTAATTTCAGTTGCAGTGGAAACTGAAAGAAGAAAACAGTATATTTACCAGATGGAAAAGTACAAAATCAATAAAGAAATAAATTGTCTTCATGTTTCTTACAAACAATTGAAAATTAAAAACAAATGTCCTATGCAGCACTCGGCTGTATCCTTTTAAATTTAGCTAAATATTCTTCATAGTTAGCTGCGTTGTCACTGATACCAGATCATGGTTCTTCAGCAAGCTTGATTATTATTTTTTTGAACAGTGGGTGTGTACATGAAAAACATGCACACAATTGCATTCCTCCTTTGGGTGTGCTGTGCAAGGATGATGGTCGTGCATGACTGGTCATTTGTAGACGTAATTTACCCAGTTTCTCTGTGCAAACACAGGCACATGCAGATTAGGCACAATCTTTGTGTGTGAAGCTGCACAATTTGCCAATATGTTTAGATAATATGATGATATATCAGTAATGCACATATTCAGGTGCTAATTGAGATTTACAGGAAGTTTAAACACTACATTCCTTGTGTTTAAAATAGCTATGTACAAGGGAATAAAAAAAACCAATGAACATTAACAACGAGGAGTCCGGTGGCACCTTAAAGTCTAACAGATTT